GACAGAGCAGTTAAAACAAAAACAAAAAAAGGACTTGTCCAACTTTCAAAATTTTACTTGCTAAAAGATTTACTTTTTATTATTGTTTATTTGGAACACAGAATTTTATGCACATTGATAAAGGAAAGAGAGCATGACGGACACAGAGAGAGAGAGACAAAGTGCTCAGCCAAGGCTGAGGTTAGGTGCCTGGAATTCCATCTAGGTTTCTCCCACAGAAAAATGATCACAATTACTTAGGCTGTTTTCTGCCGTTTTGCCAGATGTATTAGAAGGGAGCTGAGTCTAAAGGAGAGCAGCATGGACTCAAATTGGAGCTCTGGTATGATGCCATCATGGTAGCGTTTTAACCCTCTATACCACAACAGCAATCCTGAGCACTTCCTTTTATGCAATAATGGGTTGCTCAGAACTGAATATACAAGTAGGGTGATGTTTGGGTGGAGTTTAGTATGATTGAAGTTTTCTGGGAGTTTTTTTGATGAGTTCATGTGCAGTTTAACTCACATATGTTCATTATGGTGCTCCTCCTTCCTGGTCCTGGAAAAGCAAATATACTAGATCACTGGATAAAGGTGTGGAGATACAGTGACGGACTATAGAGAAAGAAATTTTGAGAAAATCCCAAGTTCATTTATTTCTACTTAACTCCCTGCCTAGTTCTTCCATGTAAATGTACATACCAAATTTATAATGTAGGGGTCAAGCAGCATCTAGTTTTCTGATGAATAGTTCAGGTGGCGTGCTTATTGACCCATAGTTTCATATTCAGTAACCAATAAGACCTGGTAGAAAACCATATATTTTAAGAACAATATTTATCTGCAGTGAATGACAAGGCTTTTCTGCAAATTCAGAGTATCAATAGTATGATTCTAAGATAGAGCTCCCTCAACAGTTCACACACCAGCTTTATCTTCAAATAACATTTTAAATATCAGACCTTGCAATGCTGTGATACACAAATAGCAGAATATTGGACTTTTAACTCTTGCTGAAGGACTATGTTGGTGTAACAGTATAGGAGAAAATTGTAGGGGAGAATGGGGAGGGAGAAAGGGGAGGATTCCTGTAAATACTAAATTATGTCATGGAAAATTTTTGAAAATCATCACATCTGTTAAATTATGCGATGCAAGTGGTAGAACATCTTGCACACTAGTCTCGATTTATTGAGGAGCCTTTCTTATTTTGGGATCTAATCACAGCTAGTAGCTTTTTGGCTCACTCAATGAATGCCATTGTCTTAGTGTACTTGTATAGCTCTAATAATTTACCATAAACTGAGAAGCTTATAAACAATAGAGACTTATTTCTCATTTTTATAGAGACCAGTAAGTGTGAGATTGAGGCGCCTTGGTATCTGATGATGATCTTTGTGATCCATTGATGATAAACCCTTGCAAAATCCGTAGATTATGGAGAAACAAGGCTGCTTCTTAGTGTATGTTTCATGAAAACACTAATCCTATTCATTAGGGACATGCCTTAATGATGCCATCAGTTGCAAAAAAAATCCCTCTAATGCCATCATACTAATGATTAGATTTCAATATGTAGATTTTGAGTAAACAAACATTCAAACAAAGTGCAAAGAAAGCACACTCAACTGCAAACTAGGTTTTTGGTAAAATTCAACAAGGTTGATTATATGTTCTGTTTCTCTTTTGGTATTAGAAGGGACCAGATACAGATATTCCCCCTTGACCTTAGAAGAGATGTAACAACATGGAGAATTTCTTTAGATACCGCAAAATTTCACTGAGATAGTAATCTTCAGAAATTTTGTGTGACATTTTTCCCAATTTCTGATATTCAAATGTCTTACCAATATGGCTGGAGTTACTTTCTACTCATCAAGTCAAATCAACATATCATCAAAATTGAATTCCTTATCTAATGCAAAGGAGAGATGATTACAGTGCGTATAGACTGGGCCCATTATTGTGGCATATCAATTGAATCTGTCTGTCACCAGCAGTGCTGGTGCCCAATATGAGAGCCAGTTTGAATCCCATACGCTATAGTTGTAATCTAACTCTTCATTAATGTGCCTTAGAAAGCAACAGGAGGTGAGCTGAATGCTTGGGACCCTGTATTTACATGGGAGACTTAGATGAAGTTCCTGGCTCTTTACTTAAACCTGGCCATTGTTGTCACTTGAGTAGTGAACCAGCAGATGAAAGATCTATCCTCTCCTCCTACGTAACACTTCATTTAAAATAAAACAAGTAATTGGGCCTGGTGCGGTGGCATAGTGGTTAAGGTCCTCACCTTGCAAGCCCGGGATCCCATATGGGCGCCAGTTCTAATCCTGGCAGCCCCGCTTCCCATCCAGCTCCCTGCCTGTGGCCTGGGAAAGCAGTCGAGGACAGCCCAAAGCTTTGGGACCCTGCACCTGCGTGGGAGACCCGGAAGAGGCTCCTGGCTTTGGATCGGCATAGCATTGGCCGTTGCACTCACTTGGGGAGTGAATCATGGGATGGAAGATCTTCCTCTCTGTCTCTCCTCTCTGTATACCTGCCTTTCCAATGATAAAATAAATCTTTAAAAAAAATAAAACAAGTAATTCTCCCAAAAAATACCCATATAGATGAAAGTATTTCACAAAACTGGGGAGTTAGCACCTCTGAGGTATAAAGGCATATTCCTGGCCTATCTCTTCTTTTAGTCTTTGCTGGCAGGTTAAAACGAAGCAAAACAAAACAAAAACAAAAACAAACAAAACATCAATAACAACAAAAGCTTTCTTAGTTTAAGATATATGGAATTGATATGGTGATGCAGCAAATTAAGTTGCCTCTTGAGACTCCCACACCCCATATTTCAGTCCTTGGTTACAATAACAGCTGTCCTGTGCTTCCAACTCAGTTCCTCTATTGTAACTAGGAGGCAACACATAATGGCCCAAATACTTGGTGTGTGGATTCATGTGGTAGACCAAGGTGGAGTTCAAGGCTCCTGATTTTGGCCTGGGCTATCCCTGGCTGCAGCAGATATTTGGGTAGTAAGGTGGTGTACTTGAGATCAATTTCTCTCTCCTCTCTTTCTTTCAAATAAAAAGAATTGAAAGGGAGATATGCAGGAGCTGACAATGTGACATGGTAGGTTAAGCCTCCTAGGGGTGTTGGAATCACAACATGGGTACAAATTTGAGTCTCAGCTTCTGCACGTCCCATCCAGCTCCCTGTTTGACTTTTAAAAAAAAAAACAAAACTTATGCTAAGTATATTATTCTTTTTAAAAAAGGTTTATTTTTGTTAGGAAGGTACAGTTACATAGAGAGAAGGAGAAAGAGAGAGATCTCCCACTGGCTGGCTTACTCTCAAAATGGCTGTAACAGCTGGAGTTAGGCCTGTCAAAAGCCAGAAATTGGGAGCTTCCCCTCCAGCCCATAACTCCCACAGGATTACAGGGGCCAAAAACACTGAGCCATCCTCCACTATCTTCACAGGCCACCAGCATATAACTGGTCAGAAATGGACCTGCCGGGACTCAAATTGCTGCCTGTATGGGAGACTGGCACCGCAAGTGGAGGTTTAGACTGCTACACCATGGTGCCGACCTCAAGTATTATATTCTTATAAATGATATTATAAATGATATTATGTTTTCAACAGCATTTAGGATGGTCTATTGTTAGTAGATAGAAGTACAATATCGTCTTTATATTGAGTCTGTATTTCCAAACAGAAATGCTGAAATTGCTGTCTTTTTTTTCTCATTTCATTCAACATGATGTGCTCCAGTTACAACCATTTTGCTGCAAGTAACAGAATTTCATTCTTTTCGTAGATCTGAATAATATTCCATTATATTTATTTTTATTTATGTGGGAGATCTTCTGTCTGCTGCCTCACTGCCCAAATTTGTTAATTTGCTTGGTATTATATTTTTTTGGTATTTTCTGTATTCAAAATTACATCATTTACAAATAAAAACGTTTACTTTTTCTTTCTTTTCTTGCCCAATTTCTCTGGATACAAATTATAGTGCAACATTCCATGGAAGTGCTAAGAGTGAATATTTTATGCTTCATTCCTTTCATTTACCTTAATTAGAAAGCATTCAATATTTTATCTAGGGTTTAAAATTAGCTGTGGATATTTACAGATATCCTTTTTCTGGTTGGGTAAGTGCCATTTTATTACGTTTGTTGAATGCTTTTAATGAAAGGAAGTTAGGGTTTTTTTTTTTTTTCATTCTTTTGAACTTATTGAGATGACCGTATGGCGTTTGGTTTCTATTTTTACCTTGATCAAGACTCATGTGGTAAACCAACTTTTGTTATGCAGTACAATTATTCACCTTCATTTCAGGATAATACTAACATCCTTATAGAATGTGTTGGGAAATGTCTCATCCTCTTCTGTTTTTTGGAAGAATTTGTAAAAGATTGGAGTTATTTCTTCTTTAAAAGTTTACTGTATATATTCTGGGCCTGGCGGCGTGGCCTAGCAGCTAAAAGTCCTCGCCTTGAACGCACCGGGATCCCATATGGGCGCCGGTTCTAATCCCGGCAGCTCCACTTCCATCCAGCTCCCTGCTTGTGGCCTGGGAAGGCAATCGAGGATGGCCCAATGCCTTGGGACCTTGCATCCGTGTGGGAGACCTGGAAGAAATTCCTGGCTCCTGGCTTTGGATCGGCATAGCATTGACTGTCACGGTTCACTTGGGGAGTGAATCGTCAGATGGAAGATCTTCCTCTCTGTCTCTCCTCCTCTCTGTATATCTGACTTTCCAATAGAAATACAATAAATCTTTAAAAAAAAAGTTTATTGTATATATTCTTAGAAGTGATATTGCTGGGTTATATGGCCTAAGTGCTTTTAATTGCCTACGTATCTTAATTGCCTAAGTATTTTCCATACTGATTTCCATAGTGGCTGCACCAGCCTGCATTCCCACCAGCAGTGGAGTAGAGTTCCTTTTCCTCCACAACCTCTCCAGTAGGTCTTGTTTGTAATTTTCTGTGTGGGCAATTCTTTCTGGCATTAAGTGGAACCTTGGTATTGTTTTTATTTGAATTTCCCTTATTGCCAGAGAGCTTGAGCATTTTTTTCATGTGTCTGTTAGCTATTAGAATTTGTTCCTTTGTAAGTGTCTGGCAATTTTTGCATGAGAAAGCATCATGCACCCCAGTGTTCATTGCAGCACAATCAACAATTGCAAGAACATGGAAGCAACCTAAATGCCCATCAACAGAGGACTGGATAAAGAAACTGTGGCTCATCTACACTATGCAATACTACTCGACAATTAAAAAAATGAAATGCATTATTTTGTGACTAAATGGACCAAACTAGAGACGATTATGCTAAGGGAAATGAGTCAATCCCAAAAGGTCTGATGTATGTTTGCTCTAAGATAATATGATGTCACATCTAGGGATATTATATGTGAATCTTACTCTATGTCACTTCATACTTACCTATACCTTCTGTAACAAGATCTTGTGATGTAATTCATTAATCAACCGTCCATAAGAGGCTGATTGTTTATAATCACCTGAGATGGTCAGTGTCCCCTTTATCACTGTTACTGGTACTGTCCAAAAATAACAAAGATCTAATCCTCATTGAACCTACTAAATTAAGGCCCCAGGATGCAAGAATGAACCAACAACAAAATGACAGTATCCTACATGGTTGGGAGACACTCCAACAGCAGCATGATGGACTTGGGAAAATTAATGAAAGACGCCCATTGTGAGACTGGAGAGGAGAACAGTGGGGAAGGGAGGGAAATTGGGGGAGGAATAAGGGAAAGCCCAGTGCCAACTAAGTTGTATCAAAAAACAATTTAAAAAAGTTTACTGTAAAAGTGAATATTTTGCTATGATAAATTGAATTACTGCTTGGGGAACCTAAATCCATTATCAGAGTGCCTGGTTTGAGGCTTCCTTGCAAAATGTGCCAGTACCCAGGGATGCAGAACCATCACCTGATATCAACCCAGGGTCCCGATGTGGTGAATGTTCCAAAGATTCTGCCCAAGTAGTTTAAGGTGTCTCTGAAATGCTGTCAATTTTGCTGATCCTAGGGTGAGGCAACCCTCCCAATATCCGTTAGCTGACATAGTCGACCTCAAGTCTCCATTCACCCAGATTTATGCTGTCATCATATGACTGGAGTAGTCCATTCTGTTTAGTTCTACTATGGCACTCAATGAGCTGCCAAATTCTCCATGTACATCAGGGTCTGCATCTACTGCTCCACTGTCGCTGTCCTGCAGCGATGGACTTGGTGCACGGAGCTGATAATAACATGCGTGGACTCTGACTGATGGTCAAAAGCCAAAGTTTATTAGGGGCATCAGACTTTATACTCTGAAAGTCCGTATGGGGTAGGGGAGGAAGTATCGATAGGGGAGGAAGTATCGAGCTCATACACAAAACCATCAACTGTTATCGCACTCTAGATTGGAATTCCTTTAGTCTTTACATCGCGCTATGTGTTCTCATTTACATGCTGTTTACTCAACCCGTGGGAACTATCTCCCAACAGGTATGCAAGAGATAGCCATTTGGTTGTTTCTATGCAAATACTGCCCAATGAACTGCAATCCTGTGCTGCTGGCCTTCCAGGGACACAATGTCCTCTTACACTCCACCTTTTTCACTTGTAAGCAGGCACAAAGACCCAGACCAGACAAACTGAGTCCCACCAGGTCTCCCACCGCTGGGGCTCACAAACCTATCATCTGCCTCACATACAGGCCCCCAGAACCCAGGCTAGGCAACTCAAGCCCTGCCAGATCCTTCACACACAATGCATATGAACCCAGAACCCATCTCGCAGTGAGCCCCAGGACCCGAGCCAGGCAATCAAAACCACAGCAGATTCCCCACCTCTGGGGTTCACAAACCTTGCACCCACAGACCCCAGGCTGACACGACTCACCTCACCTCAGCATTCAACATTGTGTTGCATAGCCTGGCTCAGTCCAACCTGCCCCCAGTTCCAACACCTACTGGTGGGTGCTACAGTCTAGTGAGCAAGCCCAGTGAGATCCCTACCCCAGCTCTAATGTGAGCTGGCTGGTATTGTGGTCCAACCTGGTTCCCCGCAGCTTGTCCTGGTTCTCAGGTGTACCAGTGGATATTATGAACTGGCCCAGCTTGGTCTGTCCCCAGACCTGAGATACATGTATGCCAGTGAGTACTGTAACTTGGCCTGGTCTGGGCTACTCTTTGACTTGATACTTGCACTCCCAAGCTCCTCTATCAGATCTCTTCCAAGTAGCAGATCTAGTGCACACCAGTGGGTTCTTGGTACAGATTAATATTATTCTTTTTAATGGTTGCGTAGTGTTCCATGGAGTAGGTGTACCATGGTTGCTTTATCCATTCCCCTTTTAATAGGCTTCTGGGTTGTTGCCACATCTTGACTATTGTGTATTGGATTGCAGCTCATTTTCTCATTCACAGACTTCACTTCATTTGGATATATGCCCAGCAGTAGGATAGCTGGGTATTATGGTAATTAAATTTTCATTATCTTAGCACTCTTCAAACTGACATCCATAATGGTTGTACTAGTCTACATTTCCATTAACAGTGAAGTAGGGTACTCTTGGGATGCTGAGTCAGTATTGCTTTCCACATGGGATCAGTGAAATGCAGTCAGCTGAAAGTAAAGTCTCTCCTGGCTTAGTGCATACAATACTCACTGTTGTCCCTCCACAGAGACTTTGCCACAGTACTCAGAATTGCTCCCAGTGTGGTATTGGTATGGCTCTTGACTGTGGAACCCACCCTGTTCCAACATCCAACTGCTTGGGCTTTGTCACTCTGCTTCTGCTTATAGTCAGATTTTAAAATCAGCAGGACCTGCAGTTCTATGGATGGTTTCATCTCCTGAGTTCCCAGTGGACACTCCTTCCCAACTGGCTGCCAGAAGAGCTAAAATGGACAGTGGGAAATCTGTTCACTGTAATATCACTTTGCTGTCTCTGCTGCTTCTCCATGTTCACAGGTCTCCATGTGTTTCTATGCCATCAGACCATCTTCTATTTCCCATGGTCAGGTCCCTGGCTAGTTCTTCTTCATCTGTTTAAACCTCTCCTCCTCCTATTCTGCCATCTTGATATTCCACAATGTTTTTATATTTATATTTTTATTTGTGTTACATAGATGTTTTCTTGCAGGTCACGTCAATTTATTTATCTTTCATTTTGCATGAATGTTGCAAAAATATCAGATAAGATATCAGAGAGAATATATGCTATTTGTCCTTGTGGGACTGGCTTATTTCACTGAGCATAATGGTCTCCAGTTGGGACCGTTTTGTTGCAAATGATCAAGTCATTCCTTTTAATGGCTGTTTAGTATTTTATACTGTAAATGTACCACAGCTTATTCATTTCTCTTTCAATGGGCATCTGTGTTGTTTCCGTATCTTCACAATTGGGCATTTTACTGCTATGGACATAGGGTTGCATGTTGCTTTCTCATATGCAGACTCACTTCATTTAGATATATTCCCAGGAGTAAGATATCTGGGTATTATTCAATTTTCAGGTGTCTTAGCACTCACTATCCATACTGACTTCCATAGTGGCGGTAGTAGCCTATACTCCCACAATATAGTGGAGTAGTTTTCTCCCCACATTCGTGCCAGCAAGGGTTGTTGGTAGAGTTCTGAATGTGGACCAATCTCACTAAAGTTAAGTATAGGCTAGTATTTATTTGCAATACCCTGATAGCCAGAGAGACATTTATCCTTTTTTCTAATCTTTGTTACTGAGGTATTTTTTTAAATTTAATTTCGTTTTATGACAGTTTCATAGACTCTGGGATTCCCCCAACTCCTCCCCATGGTGGATTCCTCCACATTGTTGCAGTAGTACAGTTCAAATCCAGTCATGATGCCTTCATTGCAAGGATGTACCATACATAGAGTCCAGCATCTTATTGTTCAGATAAATTCAACAGTTTCTTGGGGAGACCAGCCCTGATCTGAAGGCTGAGCTGGCAGAATATCATCCCGACCAATGAAAAGTTACAACATAACGTCAACAACAATTTACAACATTATGGAGTTAATTGACATGGTATTGATTGACCAATATGTTAGAAAACGCAAGTTCTTAACCACTTCCTGTGACTACTTCACTGACTTTTGAATTTCAGTTTATACACAACTGGCTGCTATACACCTTAGAATGGTTACAGAGTACTATTCAGCTGTCTAGCATCCATTTTAATTTTAGTATTTTGCAGTTTATACTATTGAAAGATAATTTTTATTGAACTTGGCAAATTTTAGGATAGTCCAAACTGGCTTATAACTCTAACAAGGTATACGTTAATAATTGAGGTGCATATGACCTCCTGTTAACAGGTTGCCAGGATTGCTCTTGTATCCCCCTGTATGTCTTCATAGTTCTGCTAATGTCTAATGCTGATTCGAGTCTGCTGCCTGTAAGTTACCTGTTATATTCTTGACAGGTTATACTTAACATCTTCCTCACACATTCTAAGAAGGTGGAAGATTTCTTTGCTCTCCCGACCCATTACGGAGTAACATAGGGCATTAAAAGTACGTTAGGTTTTACAGTTCTTTGATGTAGATCATAAGCAGTCTGACTCACATTGATTGTCGGTTCATTGGTTACATCACAATATCTTATTGCATGTGGTGAAGGCTGTTTGAGGTTGAAATAATATTACAATTTATGAGACATTTATTCTTTTAAAAATGTCTGCTCATTTCCTTAAACCATTTCTTCACAGGGTAGTTTACATTGTTATCACTGAGTTTATGAATCTCTTTGTAAATCGTAGGTATTAGTCCCCTATTTGTTACGTAGTGTGCAAAGATTTTCTCTCCTTACTTCTTCACTTTGTTGATCATTTTCTTTGCTGTTCAGAAGCTTCTTAGTTTGATGTAGTCCCATTTGTTTATTTAGGCTTTGATTGCTTGTACTTTTTGTGAATTTTCTAAGCAATCTCTAGCAATGCCTGTATCTTTTAAAGTGTTTTTCATATTTTTCTCTGTTGGTTTCTGGTCGCAGATTTAGGTCCTTGAACCATAGAGAGCTGATTTTTTTGTGTAAGATGACAGGTGGGGGTCTTATTGATTTGACTGGGTAAAATTATAAATAGAAGTAATTTATACAGGCTGATAATAGTAAGAAGTAAATGATATGATGGTTGTTTGAAGTAGAATAGAGGTGATAGATAAAGAAGTGGCTAAATTTGTAAAGACATCCTAGGATTTGTTGACTGGGACTAGGGCAATAGCAGATGAATATAGTAATGATATCGCCTAGGTTATATGGGTGAGTGTACTGCAGAGTAATCATACATAACATCAACAGCAATCAGATACTTTATAAGGC